TTCTCACATTGTTTTCTTTTCCCTTATTCCCCTTCCCCTACCCTTCCCACTTTCCCTACACCTTTAGCCCTTTTCTTCCTATTTCACATTGTTAATTATCCCATTAGGATCTTGAATACTATTATAGTTTTTCACACCAGAGAAACTATTTGGTATTTACACGTGTGACTTATTGAAAAATCAAATTTCTTAAAAAAATTTTTTTTTAATCTTCTGTTTTCAAACAGTCACAGTTTAAAAAAATACAACCTAACGGTTATGTTTTGGGGATAGATATTGAGATACCCACAACCCTTCTGAGACAGGAGATTAGAGCATCGTGAACCTGCTGGAGAAGTGGGTGTGATTTGTTGATTACAAAGTTCCAAGACACACCTGTAGAGTAGTTCCCAAAGCCCCGCCCTTGAACTTCTTCGAGGACTTGATAGGACGGTCTAGACCTGATGTCAGCTTAAGGAGTGGGAGATACCGAATGACAGTCATCACTGAGCTCTCTGCTGCTGTGCCCTTTACAGCCTCGTGCTGTGGAGTCGTGAGGGCAAACCTTTTAGAGACTGAATGCGGAAACTGCAACCCAAAGCCCACTTCATTATCACAAAGTGCTAATGCTGCAAGTAAACCTGAACACCAAGGTTTCAGTTTAGAAGAAAAAAACAACTGTTATCCAATGCTCGGCTGCTGGGGCAACTTGGCCTGTGTACCAACAGAGAGGGCTTTGATTCGCCATAGATTCGCCACCGCTGCTGCAGAACGTACTTTGTTTTCTGCTTTTACTTGGTCCAATCTTGCTCTGCAGAGCACGTTTCTTTTAATAAACATAAAAGGTAGCAGCTACCTTCTAAACTTGTCATGAATAATTCTCTGTTCAGGACAGGAAGAACCTAGAAAACACCTCTAGAAGGACACTCCAGAACCCTTAAAACCTGTAACACTTCTGTTCTGAAAAGATGGAACGGGATCCTTGAAAGGGGTCGCGCGTGCCCCTTCGGGCGCCCCTCCCAATCAGGTCACTCATGCCCGGAGAGGTCCGGCAGGAGATCTTTATTGAAGGGAGTCAGGCGAGGCACAAAGGCCGGGAGGCGAGGCACAAAGGCCGGGAGGCGAAGAAAGGGAGGCGGGTACCAAGGGAAGGAGTGTTGGCTCATTTATAGGGTCTTGGGTGGGAGTTTTGCAATTTTAGGGGAATTAGCTGTTTTTTAACCTATTGCAGGCCACATTGCCTTCTAAGGTCTTAGTCCTGCAGGAGTCCCTTATCAGATGTTGGCGTCATTTCTGGGAAGAATTCAACTGGGGGGGGCAACGAAATTTAAATTGGGAAAACGAAACTTAAATTAGGAAGAACCCGGAAGTCAGGTATAAAATGGAGGAGTTTAAAGTAACATGTACAATTTCCTAACAATCCTTTTACACCCTGTATCTGCTAGTCAAAGTAAATTGCCTCAATTTTTTCCCAGGGTCAGCAATGAACAAGGTAACAGGGGAAGAGGGCATTTGGTCTCCATTTGGCCCTACGTCAGAGTCACATACTTTGCTTCAAAATGTGGTTTGGGAAACATACAATGTTGTATGGGGCTATTTCATTAACATCCTTGATTTAAATCAATTAAAAAAATTTAACTGTGAGGTTAAACAGGTTCAGTGTTTTGGTTTCCTGCATAAACAAACTCAAGTTCAACATAAACAGCAAAATAAAATTCGGTTTTAGCCAAAGTCAGAAGCCACCAAACTAACCTCAAACTATGGACTTTCCTTTTTACCAATGGAGTATATTTCCTTTGTCTTGCTTCCTTGAACATTTTGTAAGTTTCCACTCCCCACAGTGGAGGGCTGAACTTGTTTATTCATACTATAAGGAAATGCCTCTGTTGTATTCTCCCCCAACAAAACCATTAAGAAATAGAAACTTTTTGACCCTGCCAAAATTTTGCACTCCAAAATTTCTTCTGTAGAAGTGGAATGGTGACTTGATGGTGAGAATTTGAAGGTGGGACCAGTTACTGACCTTACTAACTCCATTTTGTTTCTCTGACTCCATCTTGCCTTTGACTTTTTCTTTTCCATCTAAATTCTCTTGAGTCATTCTCTCCCACAGTTGCTTTGGATCCCAGAAACAACAGGTCTGAATGATAAACATTTAATGACAAAGGACTGAAATTATCCCCCAAATAACAAGTGACCAGAGCATGGCCAGTCCTAAGATAATGGCTCAAGGTAATGATCAGCTGGACCATGGCCAAACCAAGATGACCCGGGTCACAATCCGTGGAAACCCCCAACCCTTGTTCATTCCTTTTTTTTTTTTAATGTAACTCTGAGACTGTTATAAAAATTTTGAGGACAGATCTTAGGTGTCTAGACCTCTGTCCTTCCTGGGAGACTACATGGAGAGTAAAACCTCTTTTCTGCCTTTACCACTGCTTGTTCCTCAGATGGGCTTTCTGGGGCAGGTAGCTGAGCCTAATGTTTGGGGACTTTGGAATCAAGGAGCCAGCAACATCGTCTGTACTGTCAACATTCCCATCCGCTCAGCTCCCATCCGAAGTCTCCACTAAGTTCTGCTTACAACGTTCTGGGGATTCTTTAGCTTGCATCTCTAAACCTTTCTAACTCCTCCAGACCTGTTCCAAAGCTTAAACCACACAATCAGGTGTAGTGACAGTAGTGACTCCACTTTTTGATCCCAGTTTTCTGTGTTAGCCTTGCATTCCTGTGAAAAAAATATTCAAAGTGAAGCACTTCAAGGAGTAAATGTTTGGTTCATCATTTCAGAGGTTTCCGTCCACAGTTGGCTGGTTCCATCTTTTCAGGTCTGTTGGGAGGCAGAAATACCATGATGAAAGGGCGTGCCTGGAGAAAGCTACTCATCTCCTGGCAGTCTGGAGGCAGAGAAAGAAAAGAGCTGAGCAGAAGGACCTAGGGATCAGATAGAGTCCCAAGGCCATGCAACCATGATTCAATCACCTCTCAAAAGTTCATCAGCAATAGTCTTCCACACAATAAAAACATTTTCAGGGGACAAAGTGGATCTAAACCATCACAGTCCCTCATGGATGCCGGCATTTCAGATGCCAACCCTGAGCCCCAGATTGTGGCCGGTGCTGCTGGTCCAGTAGCTATGACTCAATCTTCTCACCACCCACTTCTTAGATTCGATTATTATGATAACAGCAATGCTTCACAGGACTGAGGGAAACACTTTCCTCACTTTCATCAGGATATACAGAGCATACGGATGAACAGCCCGGTGGCAGAGACGCACAGGGAATGGGTATGGAAGGAGGGTGCGGAGCTTCCACATCCTGTCGGGTGCACTGCCCCGCAGGAATCACCACACGTTCCTTCGGAAACCCCGGGACACCCCCAGTCCTATCCTTTAAGGTTTTGTAGAAGCTTCACTGCACAGACAGGTGCACAGACCTGTCTGAGCCACTGGCCACTGGTGCTCATCTCAGCCTTCCTGCCTTTTCCCTCCTCAGCTGACGTTTGAAGACCGAAGCTGAAAGTCTCAAGTTTCTAACCAAATCTTGATTTGCTCATGACCAGCTCCCATTCCGAAGCTAGGGGTCCCCAGCCACCAGCCATCTCCCTAGGATAGAAAAGACCTGCTATCTTTTTGTTTGATTTTTATTTTATTAAAACGCCATCGAGTCCATCTTGCTAAGAAAGAATGTCTATCATCGAGAAACGAAATAATAATAAATGCTGCGGAGATTGCAGGGAAAGGGGGACCCTTGTACATTGTGGGTGGCGATGTAAACTAGTAAAACTGTTGTGGAAATCAATATGGAGATTCATCAAAAATCTAAAAGTAGAAATTCCATTAGACCAACTATTTCCTTTCTAGGTATCTTCCCCCCAAAAGTAAAGATATCATATTACAGTGGTTCACGCACACCCATATTTATAGTAGCACAATTCATAATAGCTAAATCTTGGAAGTGGACTATATGTCCATACACAGATGAGTAGATAACAAAACAATGTGATATTTACACACAGTGGAGTACTACTCTGCCATAAAGAAGGATAAACGAGTGATTTGTAGAAAAACGGGTGCACCTTGAGATCGTAACGTTAAGTGAAATAAATCAGATACACAAGGTTTAATATTGAATGGTTTCTCTTATACGAGAAACCAAACATAGATCTTTAACAGATAGAAGGGGACCAAGAGATGGAGGGAGGGAGGGAGAAGCAGGTGAAGAAAGAATGGAGACGTGTTGTGCAAATGTACCAAACCCCCAGGAGGAGTGTGATCTTTACGTACTGATAGGATAGAAAAGCTATTCTTATCACACCAGAGAGTCTATGTGTTCCAGGAGCTATAAGTCAGCAAACAGGACCAAATACCCACTTCACACTGCACCATGAGGTGTAGAAAATGTTGTCTCAAAGAGCCATCGGTCTGCCGCCCAGCACCAATCTGATTCGATGCCCTTTGTTTCCAGGTAGGATGTGCCAGTTTAACTGGGTTACCGATGATAATACCCAACAGGGCAAGTCTTTGCATTGCATCATGTTCCAGCCTAAGGTATATAAAGTGTTTGTTCTGTTAATTCTGCCCCTAGAGGCTCCTGCTCCTAGCTATGTCTTTGCCCTAAAAGGTTCCTCTCAATTTCCTTTCTCCAACTGTTTGAAACTGACTGGCAGTGAAACTCAGGGCTCAGAATTGAAAGCAGTCAAACTCCTCTGGGCCATCTGGCTAGTACTGGTTCTTCTCCATCTCCTGGAGTAACTTTCTGATTCTCTAGTCTTCAAGGTGAAGTAGCTATAACACTTGAGTTGTAACACAGAGCCGTAGTACTTGAACTGTAGCACTTGGCTGTAACACTGAGCTATTCCACTTTTCTACAGTATTACCACAATGCTGAGTTTACATCCCACAATGCCAAAGAATGGATTCAAAGATGATAAATGGGAAGAAAGTTTATTAGATGAAAACTCCTGAAAGCAGGAGGGGACCAAAGAGTCAGTTGCCATGGGGACTCTGTCTAGGGGTTTTTTATACACGAAAATGATCACATCCCAGACCACTCTGGGACAAACTGAGGTCAACCTATGGGGTAACAAGAAAGAATGTTTGACTAAAAGAGCATCTATAGAAGCTCAGGTCCAAAGGCAAGTGGGTTTCTTCCCATGGCAGAACAGGTCAGGATAGAACTGGTAACTTTTCTTGTAGCTTTTCTGGTTTTGAGCAAGACAGTAGGCAGCAGTTTTATCACATCCACACAGCCAACTCCGACAGTAGTCCTGGTTTACTGAAATTAGAAGAAAATAATGGGATGAGGGCTTGTTAATATTCTGTGGCTTCTTGCTGGGCATGGTGGTGCACACCTGTAATCCCAGCACTCAGGAGAATCAGGCAGGAGGATCCCCGTGAGTTTGAAGCCAGCCTGGACTACATAGAGATCAAGTCTAGCCTGAATTATAGAGTAAGACCCTGTCTCAACCCCTCTCCCCCAAATTCTGTGGCTTCTTCTGAGGGAGTAGCTGTTCCACATAGTTCTCCAAACTCTGAGACTGCTAGGCTTTTGCACAGCCACTCTCCTATCTGCTAACAGACCTATACGGGCGGCCAAGAAGCTCCATGAGCTGGAAGGTGGACAGCGACTGGTAAAAGCCAGGCATGGGCTTTGTTTTGTCTTTGGCAATGGCTGGGCTGTGCATAGCATGTAATCTTGCTCTGGTCAGTGAGCCACAGGGGAAATCTGCGGAGGGCTTAGGGGAAGCATGGACTTCTTCCCTCCGAAAAGACAGCGGCGTGGTGGGAAAGCCTGCTGTACAGCTGAGGCCGTGATGTGTGGAGCTGCAGGTGTGTCTTGAGGACACAGGTAGATTCAGCCACCTTGGCCTAGCTGAGCAACAGTGCCGGTGATGTGGCGGAGAAGGTGCCCCAGGCATGGTGCTGCCTGCCCTCTTCTAGAATTCTCGTTATGTGACAGGAGGCATCCCCATAAGCCAAAGCACTGCCAGCTGGGCACTGGTGGCCTGGGACCTAAAGCCTGTGGAGATACACAGCCTCGAGGAGAGAGCACAATGGTAAAAGTCATCTGTGGTTTGGAAGGTTGCACTCATGGATCCACTGGAGACAGTAAGACTTAGTGAGCTCCCAGTTGCCGTCAGTCTCCCTCCTGAAGTCAGGCTTTCTCCACACAGTTGTGTACACTCGGGGTCTCTACTTGCTGCCTGCTCACCCGCTCTAGTCTGGCTGTGCCGCACACCCCATGGGAACACCTGTCTCTGAAGGCCTCAGAGGCCCTCCTGTCCCTCCAGCGAAGGAGCCCTGTGCATCCTCCCTATGGCTGCCTCCTCTGGTCAGCTGTCTCTTGTTAATCCACAGTGGTCCCGTGACCTCTCTGTCCTCTTCCCTGTTCCCTGTCCAAGCTTCTGGTCTCCCTCCCAGACCTTTAATCAAAACTGGGTGAGCGCCTCACTCCTGCTCCCTGTTGCTGACTTCTGAATGTGCCCCAGGCCAGACCCTCCGTGAGCTGCAAGTTCCCACACCCAGCTGCCTACTGTCCAGCTCCCAGGGCATCCGGAGCTCCCTGACCTCCCTCTGCTTCAATCAGAGCGGCTCCTCCTGAACACGCAGCTCCTCCTGCCATCCTTACCTCAGCTGGACCATCTCACAGTCACAAACCCACCCGAGAGATCATCATCACCTCCTCCCTGGGCAGTCACCAAGCTCGGTGGGTTCTCCAGTGCATCTGGATGGCAGTCCCCCTGCTCCCTCCTGATCCCCTGTGCTCTATTCCCCAGGGTTGCTCTGAGACAGAGGGAGTGTTCTGAAAAGCATACCCATTCCTACATTCCTTTGCTCAATAACTCCCCGCTGCTTTAGGACAAAACCTACGGACATCCTGGCCTGGAGGGTCTGGCTTGGTCCAGCCCCTTCCTGGTTGCAACATTTCTCACACTTCCCCTGGTGGCACAGCATGGTCTGCGGTCCCCTCAGGTCCTCCTCTGGGAATGCCACACCCTTCAGTCCCCTGCCTCTCTGCACAGCCTCTGGGACTCAGCACAGATGACACCACTTCGCGGAGCTTCCTTGAGCCTAAGGTGTGTTGAGGGTCTGTCTTTTGCTTCCTTCCTTTGCAGCCTTCCCCGCCTGGTGCTCTCAGCGTCCTTGCCTCCCACTCAATCCTGAGCTTCTTGAGACAGAGACTGTGCTTCTTTGCGGCTCTATCTCTGGTGCCCAGTGCGGTGCCTGGCACACTGGGCACTCAGAAGGTGAAGGAAGGAATCAGAATGGCATCACGGGGGCTTTTTCTTACTGCTGCACTCGATTTCACTCCCCTTTACGGTGAACTCGTAGTCCAGGAATTTTGTGCCGCACCCACGTTTCCTCAGATGGTTGTAGCAACAGTCATGTCTGGCACAGCACCTGGTGGGAGGACTTCCTGTTAGCGGTTAGGACATCCCATAGCATCAGGAGTTCTTCTGTCCCATCATCCCCTCTCCCTTGACCCTGGATAGAGCGTCAGTGACTTAGGTGTTGTCTAGGCCGCAGTTTAAAACATTTTGGCTGCTTTTCCCGCTAGGACCTCCTGAAACTTTTGAGGCACTGGGGTCCAGCCCTCTCCTGGGCAGCTCCCAGCCCTGCCAGAGCCAGGAATGAGCAGAGGGCGTAAAAGGCTGGGGTGGTCTTACCAGTCTGTTTCGTCTTTGGGGGCTCCTCTGCCACCCAGGCCACAGTGGCAACCATAGAATCCATAAGCCCAGAAAGCATCTTTCCTTGTCACCAACTGGACCATTTTCTGTAAATCCAAAATACTACCAAGGGCACACATTACGCCTGGAAGAGAAACGACACGTGGCCTGGTGATCAGGTGTGGGTGCCTCCTGTCCACTCCTCTTTGGCTCCTACACGGCGTCTTTCTTCCTCCCAGTGAGAGAAGACTACTGAAGTAGGAAGCAAACTGGGAGCCGGTTCTGTGCTTCTGCCCACCCGCAGGGCCCTAGACTAGTATCAGCTCTTACCGAAGGCCATCACCACTGCCAACAACAGGAGGGGCTTCATCCTGACAGCTCTGTGAAGGACAATTGCACAGACATCAGCCTGGACTTCTCTCCAAGTGGTTCCCAGTTTCTGCCCTGGAGCTTACTCTGTTACCCCGAAGCACACTGATGTGCCTTCCATCCAGATCACATCCGGGATGAGCACCTCTGTCACACACGAGGGCACACAGAGTGACCCCCAGCAGTGCATGGACACACACTACCTCCCGACCCTTCCCAGCTCTGTGGAAGGACGTTACACACATGCAAGCCTCAGACTCCTGGAGACCACAGGTGATATAGCAATGAAGCCTCCTTTGCTTCCTCCTGAGACCTAAACTTCTTGAGAAGGTGGAAGGAGGGTCACTCTAAAACACCCAGAAGTTCCTGAGGTCAGAGATTATGTCCCACAATTACACATTTTATCCATATCCCTACATTGGATTCAAGGCTTAGGCATTCCATCCACTGACTCTGAGTCCCAATACTTTTCTCCTGAACTTCAGCAACAACCTCTCTTTCCAAGCCTTCTGAAGCCCATGCTATATATAAACACACACGCACCCTCCTGCTCCCTCCTGATCACTGGTGCCCACAGCTACTCACCAATGCTCTTGACTGGGCCTTAACTTTGGGGCATTTACCTCTCAGATGATGCTGAAGTTGCTACGGCCAAGTGACTGCCTCGGTTTCTTGAACTCTAGCTGCTTTCAAACAGCTACTCCCTCTGGGAGGTTGGGAGTTTGTGGGTCATGTGGTAGGCGCCAAGATTGGCCCGCCCATTCCTGGGACAGAGGTGAGTGTTGGAAAGTCTTTTAGGCCGTGAGCAGCCAAAATGTGTTTCAGGTCATTTTGAAGCATTTCCCATAATTTAGCCGTTGACCAGGTACATTCTCCTCGCCAGCTCTGGGTGTGAGTACTACTTAGTTCCTGGCTGCACTCACTCCCGCGGTAGGTAAGGACTGTGTGCTCGGACAGCCTGCAGACTCACCTGCATAGTGAACGGGGCCTTTACCTAGCAAGCAAGGCTATTTTCTTCTGGAATTTGGGAACAGGAGCATTTAATGTTATTCATTCATTCCATCCATGAGCCACTCATTCATAGAAGTCCATTCATTGCAAAGAGCCAGAGGTCCTGCAAACCCCTCGGGAAGTAATGAGTATTATGGCGTCGTTGTGCCCTTGGTAGTCCCCACAGTGCCCTGGGAGCAGGGTGAGTGGGCAGATTCCACGTCTCCTAACCGTGGCCAGTGCTTCCTTCTATTCTCCTCCTCTTCATTCTCCTCCTCTCTCATCCCTTCCAAATTTCTAATTCTAGGGAAAGATAGGCTGTTCTCGACAGTCCCATCAAATCTCCGCTTCCCCCTTGGCCCCGGGCCTCAGCTGTTCGGAGACAGGTCAGGTGATGCTCCCTGGAGGAATCTTTTTCATTCTTCGGATTTCAAGGACGCAGTGACGCAGATTCAAGTCACAAGATCAGTATCCCTTTTCCTGTTCTCCGACATGTGGTGAGAAGTTACTACCTCTGCGGGCAAAGGGAACATCCCTGACACTAGGCCTCAACCATCACTGCTGCCGAAGCTGTGATGTTGCTGAACCACGTCTGTGCCTCACTCTCTAACCCCTCACAGGCTCTCAGCCCTGGGCCTGCTTCAAACACAGGCATCAGTACCATGGTTGCTTCTAGGATGGGAGCAGGGAAAACAGTGCAGCTCCCAGCCCCCTGTGTCCTCACTGTGCCTGCTGTGGTGGAAATTGCTTCTAGTGGGAGCAGGGAAAACAGTGCAGCTCCCAGCCCCCTGTGTCCTCACTGTGCCTGCTGTGGTGGAAGCAGTGTGGGCTGCTTAGCCATGGGATGGAGAAACAGCTGACCTGGAGCCTTGCTGGTCTCAATGGGCCTACATTGCGCAATTCAAAAAAAATGTTTTGCCATTTATCGGCTTATAACTAAGATGAGTAATTATCGCAATGTTACCTAGACTATCCTAAGACCAATTAAGGCAGATTTACTCTTTTGTTTTGTTTTGGTTTGGTTTATGTAGACAGGCTGGCCTCGGATTCGCAGCAATCCTTCAAGGTAGATTTACTCTTGAAATTGCACTTTGCCTCAATTGCTAGGTCCATGGTATGCGTTAACTGTGTTCTTATTCCTCCTTCTAGTTCAATGTTTAAGTCACAGAATGTGACCTTATTTGGAAATAGTGTCTTTGCAGGTAATTAAGTTAAAAGGAAGCGATTAGGTTGGACCCTGAACTCAAATGACTGGTGTCTTTAAAAGTGGGGAAACTGACTTCAGAGTCATGAACACCGGGAGAATATACCATGAGGGCGCAGGCATAGATCAGGGCAAAGCTTCCACAAGCACGATGCCCAAGAGTTTAAAGAACCACCAGGTGGTAGAAGAGAGACACGGAGCAGATCCTCCATCTCAGCCCTCAAAACCAAACCTTGACGATCTCTTGGATCTATGAGTCTTGAACTGTTTGTCTATGAGCCCTCAACTGTTTAAAAGTTTATGACAGTGAACTTTTGTTGAGTCAAAGGACAAAGCCACAGCATCCCGTACAGTTCTATATCTTATGAGCTCGTGCTCTCCCCTCAATCCAGGGTCCATTCCTCCATCCGCTGGTTTCAATCCTATGTTAGGTTCAGAGGTCTCACCCACTGCCCTTTTGTTGAATACTTCAACTTTTGGAGCACTGGTTACTCCAATAGGCAGAACTGCCTCTCTCTCCATATTTCCTGGTGACTTCAGTGTCAAGTCCAGGCTTTGCGGAGAAGGCCATCAGACTGTGCCTCTCTTATTTATTTAATCAGTGAAGATGAAGGTAAAATTGAGCTGGACTTACAAAGACTTGTGATATTACCATCCACCCAAAACACACGCCTACCTCCATTATCCACTTCCTGTCCCAGCGTAGCACATCTGCTACAATCAGTGAGCTGACACCAACATGCCATCATCAAAGAAAGTCCATAGTTTACAGCGAGTTCAGCTTATGTGTTATGCATTTTATGGCTTTGACATGCATGTAATGACACTCTACCCTTACGGTAAGCAAAGGAGTTTCACCTTTGTGCTCTGATTTATGCTTGCCTTCTCGGAAACTCTGGTTCAGCGATCTTTTACTCTCTTTTCCAGACTGTCATGTGATTGAAATTGTGCTGTCTGCAGCCTTTTCACCTTGGCCTCTGACACTTAATAATGAGAGTCCTCCATGCCTTTTGGTGACTTGATAGCTCATTTCTTTTTATCACGGAGTAATATTCCATGTCTGACTGTACCACAGTTTATCCATTTACTTACTGAAGGATGTAGTGGTTACTTCTAAGTGTTGGCCCTTATTAATAAAGCTGCTGCACACATATGAGTGCAATTTTTGTGCGAACATTAGTTTTAAAGTCATTTTTTTAAAGTACAATTTCTGGATCATTTGTCAAGAGTTCAATGTTGAACTTTGTGAAAATTTGCAAGAGTCCCTCTGTGCTATCAGCTGTACCATTTTGCATTCCCACCAGCAATAACTGAGAGCTCCTATTGCTCTGCATTCTCACCGGCATTTGGCATTGGTGTTTCAGACTTTAGCCATTGTAAATGGGACTGCACAGTTTTAATTTGAAATTCTCTAATGTTGAGCATCCTTTCATATATTTATCACCTTAATAATTCCTTTGGTGAACTTTCTCATTGGTCATTTTTTCGGTTTCTAAATTGGAATTTTTATTGTTGACTTTTAGAAACTCTTTATATATTTAGGACAACATTTCTTTATCAGATATATCTTTTGAAGAAATTACCTTCTTCCCCTACTCCTTTCCCCTTTCCCACATTATCCCACTTATTTCCATCTTGGCAGTTATCCCAATCTTTAGTACTTTTTTATTTGGCTGTTTTTACTGTTTGGTTATCTAGAGAAAGGGTAAAAATTGGAGATTTGTAGGCTTCTTGGGTAAGTAAAGCATTTAGAGTTTCCTGTTTTTCTATTCCTCATTTTGCTTTCCCCCTGAGACTTAAGGTATTGATTTGGATTATTTGGAGTCAGGTTCAAAGGCAAGGAGGTTGAAAGCAGATTCAAAGGGCAGGCAGGAGAGACAACCCTGGAAGATAACAGGGAGAAAGAGAGACAGAGAGACTAGGGAACGAGAGTATTCAGGTCACAAAGTAATGCTATATCTGAAAGGACTGTGGAAAGTAGGAGAATTGGGTAGGAACTAATCGAATTGAGAGCCATCAAATGAGCAAGCCTCTTAGAGGCAGACTATGTTGGTTAGATTTCTGACTCTGTGATAGAAGACCTGAGAAAAACAGTTTAAGGTGGAAAACTTATCATGGCTCATGGTTTCACAGCATTCAGTCCATGGTAATCTGGCTCTGTTGCTTTTACGTCTGTAATGACACAGAAATATCAGTGCAGAAGGGCAAGTGGAGGAAAGGTACTCATCTCATGGAAGAGAGAGAGGGGAGGGGACAGAGGAAAGGCAAGGGAGGAGAGAGAGAGGGGAGAAAAGGGATAGAGACAGAGGAGGGAGAGGAGGGAGAGCAGAGAGGAAGGCCAAGCCAAAATTTATTTTCAGTGCCACGTTCCCAATAACTCACTCTCCCCAACTAGGTTCCCCCCACCAAAGTATTCATCACATCCCAATAGCCCAAGTTTTGAATCCATGAATGGATTAATACATTAATGAGGTCAGATCCCTGATGATTCAAAATCCCCATCTCTGCACATTGATGCATTGTTCACTAAGCATTCAACACATGAGCCTTTGGGTATCATTTCAAATGCGAACTATAGAAAATCCTTTGCTAGGAAGCAACAGCTTGACTTTAGTCCTGTGTTGTACTCATCACAAGGACTCTATTAGAGAGTGTGACTTTACCATGAAAACCAAGGCAGATACAAAGATGAAAGTGCTTGGCACTTTTCACTAAGTGCACTCCTTGGACAGGTTCTTATCTCAGGAGTGAGCTGAGTGTTCTCCAAGGTTGTCACAGGAGTGATCACTCTAAAGTGGCCAGAGATTGAGACACTGATTCAGAGCCAGAACTCT